CATTTGTGTTTTCACTAGAAGATTAAATAGACTCAATTTATGGCAAAATTGATTCAATTGTGGCAATTGGGGAAAAGTTTTGAAATAATGGCAATTGAGAAAAATATTTAAAGAATAATGGCATATTGCGTAATATTCCCTTGGAATATGGATTACTTCTAAGATTGAGGCCCAAAAATTTCATCTGTCACACATGGATGGTTAAATTAAAGCTCAAAAATTATAAATATAAAAACCTAATTAAATTAGTATTTAGTTACTTGTTTAATGTTTCCTATTTCCTAATTGTTTTCGGAAAAAAAAAATCAAAAAGGAAAATTTCCATATTTTCCCAATTCATACCTATAAATAGACGACCCATACTTTCATCGATTCCTCAAATTGCATTAAGAGTTCGTCGAGCATTAGGTTTACATAACTTGAATTTGGAGTCGAGCAAAGATGAGGATGATGGTCAAGGGAGGTGTGTGGAAGAACACCGAAGATGAGATTCTCAAGGCCCGTGATGAAGTATGGTAACAACCAATGGTCTCGGATCTCGTATATTCTCGGTCGTAAGTCGGCCAAACAGTGTAAAGCTCGCTGGTACGAATGGCTCGATCCTTGTATCAGAAAAACTGAATGGCCGAGAGAAGAAGATGAGAAGCTTCTACATGTTGCAAAACTTGTTCCTACTCAATGGAGAACTATTGCTCCCATAGTGGGACGTACACAATCTCAATGCCTTGAGAGGTACGAAAAGCTCCTTATTGATGCAGCACTCCTAAACACGAGAATTGTGAAGCACGAAAAGTGAGTTATTACAATTATGGATTTAAGGAATAAGATCTGATGTTGCTCTGCTTTTTTTTTTTGTTAGCAAACAAAGTGTTAACTTTTTTACTTTCTTCTTCGTTTAACCAATAATGGGAAACTCGATGTTATCTTTATTTTTCAGTTTGTTTTCTGGTTGTTCTGCCAACGCGCTATAAATAACGCACTATGATTTAGGGAAATTTGTTATGTATATGTTTTATTTTATTTTTTGAAACCTAAAACTAATTATTTTTCATTATTTTCCGTGAGCAATTTATAGGTCTTTATGTTCAAGCAATCGAATGGAATCGGAACTCTAACAAGAGTTAACTCC